ATATGAAACACACTTGAAAGACTCCCACATTACATGTAAACCAGAATGAGTTCACTACTGTCATATTGGCTGAATGTTTCTCTTTCGTACTACCACATTCACAAATGTTCTATTTTAAAACACGGGCTTTCCCTCAGAATGCTCCAATTTTATCATTACCCAACTGGCTAGTGCATTCTTTTGAATATTTCATCACAGTAAACGACTGTACGACATAACCACTAGAATCACATGCTGTGTACTAGGAGAACTAGCTCAGAGCCTAAGGGAACGATGGAATAACCGTTTTTCGTTGGGACAGATTTCACTGGTTGTTTTTCACTCGCCCTTGACAGATGAGTTGTATTCTTAGTATCACTTTTGACCGCTTGTACGCGACAGTGATCAGTAGGGCAGTTGGCTCGTACATTCATTTGACATTTCTCGTTTGGCCAAGCGCACCAGGCGATTAAGCAGCTATCCACAAGCGCACCGGCGATTAAGCAGCTATCCAGACCGGGGTTCACTAAAGGCACTAAAGGACTGTGGTCCACAACACTGTGTAAACTTATTACATGCTAACGGGAACTAAGCGGTAACTTTTGTCTGATGAATTCCAAAGAGAGCGAAACAGGCTGTCGAAGAGCTTTCAGCAGTCATGTGAGCAGCGTATTCCATCTAGATGTTATCGCGATCAGTTGTATAGCGGTGAAATTACATTGTATTATACACACTGACTGATAATTTTATCTGATTGCGATTTGTTGGTCATGAAACAAGGTTTTGGTACTAAAGCCAACCATGTAAATGAAGAGTGGACAATGAACTATGAACAATTCGACTGAGTTTCCTGTTAAAACCAACCGCGGGCTGTCAGAGAGAATTGACGGGAAGCTCACACATTCCGACAAGTAATTGTAGAGTCCTCGCTTCAGCAGTTCGTCACGCACGCAGTCATCCGATCCTTCCATGACGAATCGTGTCAAACTGTCAGGTTCTGAATGGTGCATCCTACAAATTCCCAATTCATACGTATTTTTCGAGTCGAGATACATACTTTCCACCTAAGTCCCAATTAGTTCATACTTGCTTCCAACCGGTTTACACGAACTAGACGAGGAGGGCATCGCATTCAAGTGAAACACCTACGCCGAAAGCTAAAGGAACATCAATGAAACAGGGACAGCATTTCATACCAGAGGGTAAAATCTTACAGGACATTTCTTGTTGTCCAGTAGGTCAGCATATTCGGAGTTATTCGACTTAGCCTAGGATTGCATAGCTTCACATGACAATTCAAGTAAACGGGCGAATTCATCCACTGCAAACTCGCATGAGACAACCGGAGTCACTGGAGTTCAAGTAGAGCACGAGGTTGACAGAAACTCGGGGACTGCTCCTTAGAGCGAAACCGCTGATGGGCTATCAAACAGTTTTCACTAGCATCAGAAGTAGTGCGTTGAGTCTGGACAATCCGATTCGATGAGAAATTCCGCCAACGTCTCATAAATCTTGCAATCAAATCGTGCAAGGAAGCCTCTAAGGGTGAATTCTGTGGCGTCAAATTTAAGAAAATTCTAGTGCCTCACAGTACAAGGCTTTGGTCTTTCGGTGATTATCGCGGAGCTAAAACACAATGAAGTTATCAACAAAAGTCGGTTGGTGTGCCTACTCCCAACTTGAAACGACAAACATCCTATGGTGAAGGATGTGAATTGCGTGAGCTCTGTTGATTAACGACAGTTTTTCGTGCTGAAACCGCACCGATCGTAATTGGTACACGTGGACAAATTGGACATGTGAGCTTCCGCATGGACCACCGTCATATCAGAAAACTCTACACATGGGACTGGTGAAATTGGTGTGACAAATCACCATTTCGCATGAAGCGTTTATGTCGTTGCTGTAAGCTTAACTCATTTGTGATCGCAGTGAGAAATCGACATACACAAGGCTTGATCTTTTTATTCGCTCAAGCGTTTCCGCGCAAATAAACGTGAGATAAGGCACGAAGAATCGAAGTCATATCTCATATAGTACCAACTAAAACATGAGGTGGCCTTTGAGAAGCATGTTCACTCAGCCGATACAATGAACGAAGTATTCAGTTGAGTCTCTGTTAAGACAAAATAAGTTCACCAGTTGCGCCAAATTCGGGTTCAAGCAAAGCACAAGTTTTATGAATCCTCGGAAATTGTGCGACTGATGAACCCCAAGAAGAAGGAAAAAATAGCGGGCTGTCGGAGAGTTTTCAGCAATCTTATTAGTAGTGTTCCCCAAAGTGTTCATATTTATTTCCCTTGCTGCTACTACATAATCCAAAATGAGTTACGGACATGACTGTTTGATTCATTGACTGAGGTGTTCATTCAAGTGGCTAACTGTCGGTTCGTCCGCCAGAAAATACTGTTTTCATAATGACGTAGTTTCTGAGAAGCCTGATGTTTGTTCGTTGAGTAATCACGCCTCTATACTGTTGAATAACTAATTAATATCCAACTCCACGTCCCACATTCCGAACATTAACCCCCAAACGAAAAAGCAACAAGATATCTATCGATATCGATTCCTCTCTTCCACATAGTAGTATTCAATGCCTTTGAATTTAGATGCATTGATCAAGAGATTCTTCTTGTTCATTTACTCTCCCGCTCGAGACCTGACGTGGGTGGAACACCGGGAACACGTTCAGGAGACCTACCATGACAATGCCTCCCGTATCGGTTCTAGAAGCCCTACCTGACAATGCCTCCCGTATCGGTTCTAGAAGCAATAGAATGAGCACCGGCAAAGTATGTGGGTCAAGTACGACCCACTATACTGAGCTTTAAGGTTCAGATTTCTGTCTTAGGCTATCATACTTGCAGTGTTGTATCCAACTTCAATATGGTTTCCGACAGCGCCATGTGGAAAATTTCGTTTTTTTATTGATCCGACAGTTCCAGTGCCAAATGTGCTACATGCGGAAATCCCGTCTTTATCTCCAAGAAATCCTACTTTTATCGACTGCATTTGACAGTTCGCATACTGTCTGACATCCCGCCATTAGCTGATCGGTATGCATAGAATTTCGTGGCTAGCGTTTCGTAATAAACTTGCAATCCATGTCAGCATGATCGCGTGTAGCGAGGCCGGGGTCAGTAGCGTCTATTTGTGACGACTGTTTGGGGTCTTTGGGAGGCGAAAACCGGACGAGACATCCAGAGGCAGGAAGGAAGCGGCATGCATAATTACTGCCTGTTCCGAAAGTTAGAACCATCAAACTACCCGAGGTGTGTGCCCGTACAGCCAAGCCAACTGACATTGTGCAGAATATCGATGTGATAATTCATTTTACCAGCCTCAACTTCTTCGCTGAAAGATGGTAGTCGCCTTTCTGAGCCACGTGAGCCAGTCTGAGTATTCCACGTGTTCCTGGCATCAGCTGACAAATGAATGCACTATCAATCACCTGAAGCAAGTGCACATCGTTGCAGCCTGCTCACACATGCCTGAGATTTGCAAATGCCATTTCGCAAGTACACATCGCGGGATTCAAACAAATTCTATGGAACCAAGGAAACGAGGCCACAGCTTTTTTTACAATGAACATGTCTCAGAATTTACACTATTCCGAGACGCTGAAAAGTTCAAAGGAACCAAAGACACTTAGCAAAAGAGTTGTGGGACTTGTTTTCTTCTTTTCGATATACCGCAATCTGTAACATTTCCTTCTCATATTGAGCCACTATTGTGAAATAGCACACTTGGGGGCACATTCATCTGGTAAATATTATGTATTTTTGAGTTCCGCATTTACATGCCTGATATTATATTGCATAGTGGATACTTCTTTTACTCTGGATAAGCGACTGTTCAAGCTTCGTTCACCAAAGTGTATGAAACCCGACGCATGGTAATTTACGCGTCGACGGCGAGTTTCGCTACAAACTTTTCAGCGGGTTTATTTTTTCAACCGTTCAAAATGGACTCAGGAAGTATCAGTAAGGTCAGCTTCCTGAAAGCAACCACTGAATGCCCGAAATCTACCGAGAATCTCAGGTCCGCTAGATGTTAACCAGATAGACAACGCCCCCTCAATATGTAGCGCGTCACAGCCTTGTATCAAACCCAGACAGCGCGAGTCAGCGTTGATCAAGGTCAGACAACGCCCCCGCAATATGCAGCACGTCGCAGCCAGACCGCGTGCGTCAGCATTGGACCAAGTTCAGACAGTGTCCTTCCAATAAAAAAACTTGAGGCCGTTGTACTTTTCACACTCGCGCTCTCGCACCCACTTTGTTGGAATATAGCTATTGTGATCCCTTCTGTGAGTCTTTTCTCTCCGAGACTAGGCACTGGAGCGGGTCAGCAGCAGATACCACAGGCCAGCGAATCAGCAGATATAACAGTTAGTGAGTTTTCAACCGTTCAAAATGGATTCAGGAAGTTTTAGCTTGACTTCGGGAGTCTCGCTAGTAGACAAACCACACACCACACAAGACCTCACAGTAAATGCGGCACCCTGCACTTACAGTGGAATGATTTTTAAAATTTGTGAATCGAAACTCTGGGATGATCAAGATGAACGGAGAATATTAATGTTGGTGTCAAGTCACAGATCTTCTTCATCCGAAGAACAAAAATAAATAAATCATTCAGTTGTGGTACTCTTTCGGTGCATAGCTGTCGCAGGATACCGCCAGGATGGTCAGGTCTAAACACACAATCGAAAATCCAAGGATGGGTACGAAAAATAGGTCTTTCAGCCAGCATTCTCATGCCCTCATTTCTGAGCTAATCCGAGATCGTAACCCGATGAAACAAACCGAAACATACTCTGACAACATATTTCCGTGTTATCCGAGTACAAGACGCTTTTGAAACCGTCGACTAGTCAGCTTACTCAAGAAGATACACGAAGGTCATAGAGGACTTACTCTACAGAGGATAGGAATACTTTACTCCAAAACGAAAACAGAATGTACGTGGAATAAAACATGACCTTGGAACACATTCCACGGAAAATAACGCTTAGTGATTGGCTCTTAAATTTGCTACAACCATGCCCATGGATCTTGAGATATCAAAAGTGGAAAGTTCAGGAAACACAATGGATTCAGTAGTCTAACCGAAGGGATAGACAAATATCGGGTAGTTCAGCTGCATACGGTCCGAGTGATAGAATGCACTGGGTGGAGAGCTTTTACTTCGGTCTCCAGAATCGGCCAAAAACATCGGGTTCCGAATAGCGAACATCGACTACCCAAGGATCGTCTGGAAATGATCGAGAAGAGAAAATAGCTGCATTTGATTAAAAGGAGTGACTTACTATTCAACTCAATTTCATTCCTTGGATTTTTGACGCAGGAAGGATGCACCTTTACCGAGCGAAGATTGAGACATACTTTAGAAAACCTAATGCTATTCTTTATTATGTTTGGTTACTCATTTTAGAGGCCCGTTCACGAGATTGTTTCGACTATTGTGTTCTACACCACCGTAGAGATTTCTCTGAATGCCGTGTGCTTTACTTGCCAAAGTAGAGTGAAATATCATGCCTTCCAATTAAGCGCAAGCAGTTGAGCGTTGATCGGCTGGTTACTTGATGTAAACTCTGGGTTTCCGAGCGAAAAATCACACTACTCATGGACCTACCGGCAAGTGACTAACTGTCATATATATTAAGGTAAGTCATGTTGACGGGCGTCTTCTGTAATAATCCATCCAGTCAATACATTGCTAGCTCATGACATACAAAATTCAAATTCGGACAAGTTACTGTAGCAAATCTCTATGTTCATTTAGATGGCTCAATGAGAAAGTTGTGTTCGTTCAACTGATGCAGACCTACAGCGTTTCATACAGCGTCAGGTCGATATAGCGCGTGCAAAAAAACAGCCGAATTGTAGACAAACCTTACACCGCATTTAGAATTCCTGGAGGATCTGGACAATGAACTGCTCTAGAAGTTCAAGTATCTTGTATAAGTTGAGTCTATAAATAAAAGTGCAATAACCACTTTTCTCCAGTATTCCTGTGTACGTTCAAAGTTTCGCTATGTTTACCGGGGTGTTAGACATTCAAAAGATGGAGGTTTCTAAGGCGTTCAGTGATCCCAGTGTTCCAGAGTTTTCGGTGTCTAAAGCTCCTTTCCTAGGAGAAGCGTCCAACTAGGAAGTATGGAAGTACCTAACTCAAACCCAACAAAGCCAGCGTCTATATTAGTTTGATCATCTTTTGCACAGGGGCTCTAAACCATGTCCAGAATAGCGTTGTCGCCTCAAAGGATAACTGAAAAACTGGAAGAGCATGGTCAAGATAGACAAGGAGCAGGTCTGTCTCCATTTGGTCCACGGAGTCCGTCATTGGAGACGACACTTGATCGCGATTTTCCCATACCTGAAATCCGATCGCTATGCTTGCGCGACATTTCTAGGGCCGACTAATTCTGCCTCAAAGAATAGAAGTCCGAAAATCCAATTGTTTAGGGGGTCATTCGGTGTGTGTGTGTGGGGGGGGGGGTAGTCGGTCGACTAAGGGCAACACGAACAAGACAATATACACCCTTCCCTATTTTTGTGCCCCTACAACAAACGTGACAACAGAAAGGATATGTTCAGCTGACGTTGTAGAAAGCGAACTCAAGTTTACTGTCAACAAACGAAATAGGAACGGGTATCGTGAGAAACACCTTACCAACAAGCAAAACAGCCAAATATACCGAGCACACTTTTATGCAACTCTCAACGAGGAATTTGCAACTGAACAGGTGAGCCGCAGTCTAAAGGGCCCGCTGTAGCGGATATTTCTAACTGATTCAAAGGAGCCAGTTTCATTCAAAGGCCATAGTCGACTTAAACTCCCTTTGGATGACGAATCTGTGTTTGTGTACTCTTTCCCTATTGGGGTGAGGCACACTACGTCGGTCGGACAACTGCGGACAAGAACGAGTTCGAGAGTACTGTTCACCGTCTTGGAAAACGAATGAGCTTTTCAAGCACAACTGTGAATGATTTGGCCGAAACCGGACATCAAGTAGATGTGAATACTGAGTTCAAAATCAACTACCAGTTTCCAGGATTCAGCCAAAGCCAGTTAAAGATCACGCCTTGGTCACGCCAGAGTCAAACGCCATCAGGCTAATACACCCTCTTCTCTGCGGCCAAAACAGGTACATACACCCGGTACACTTAGCATGAAGGTCTTTGGTTTGTTTGCTGAGTTGGGCAATTTAATTGCAAACGTTTCACCACCAATCAAGGTGCCATTATCGGTGCGTTACTGCGGAGCGATGCGTTGTGCCACCAAACACCACGCCACTAGGCTCCCTAACAACGCACCAATGATGGTGATGAAACGTTTGTAATCGAATCACCCAGTTCAGCGAGCAAAGTAAAGACTATATATGCTACCTAAGCTACCAACGTTCCCCTCTATAGCACACTTGGCATAACCCCTGAATCATCGACAGTTGACGCGTTGCCACAGTGACAACCTAACTAAGCTATGTGGTCAATCACGTGGAAAATACTTGAAACCGATTGGGTAGTCATCGTTTTCGAAAAAGTTTGGTGACAATAGTGGATGGTATGGGCTCGCCGCCGCATGAACTGGCCAGATTCTTAGCTAGTATACTAAAACCACTCACGGGGAAATCAAGCACCTTCATTAGGAATTCGTATGACTATGCCAACAAAGTCGCAGGGCTTCCTTTGGAGATGGACGAAGTCCTCGTGAGTTTTGACGTAATATCAATGTACACAAACATCCCTAGAGCAGATGCTCTGGAGGTAACTAAGAGGTTGTTACTGGCAGACACGACACTCGGGGAACGGACACAGCTCTCGGTGGATGAAATAGTTGAGGGCATAAGAGTGTGTTTGAATCTTGATAAATTTGTTTTTGACACAACTTTTACTCACAAAAACAAGGCCTTGCAATGGGATCCCCAATATCCCCAGTTTTAGCCAATATTTACATGGAGGACTTCGAACAAATAGCTTTGGCCGGATATCATTGTCCACCCAAAGTTTTTTGGCGTTATGTTGACGACACGTTTGTTGTAATCAAACGAGGCAACGTAAACAGCTTCCACGACTACCTTAACAGTTTAAACCCACACATCAAGTTTAGCATGGAGATAGAGTCCACATCGGGCACATTACCCTTTCTGGACTGTATAACACATAAGATTGGTGGGAAATTGAAAACGACTATCTACCAGAAACCAACAGACTCAGGAACCATATTAAGCTATTCATCAGCACACCCAAAGTCCGTGTACGCCAGCATTGTCTCATCGATGTTTCGTCGAGTTAGAGCGCTGTGCACAGAAGAGATCGACCGGACGGCAGCTCAAATCGAGATTGCCAACAAACTTCAAGAAATAGGATACCCAGTGAGTTTGATTAGACGACAACTAAGGAAGATATTGGTTCCAGTATCTAGACCCAGTAAAGAATGGATTGGCACAGCAATCATTCCATATAAGGCAGGAACATCGGAGGTTATTCGAAGATTGTTGATCTTAGCCAACATTAGAGTGGCTTTTCAGAAGGGAAAAACGCTACGCTCAGTTTTGGTGCAATTGAAAGATCCCCTGCCGGCTGAAAGGACTAGGGACTGTGTGTACAAAATTAACTGCAACGATTGTGCTAAGGTTTATATAGGACAAACTGCCAGGGAATTGCACACCAGAATTGGTGAGCATAAAAGAAGGATTAACAAGCCACCAAGGAATGCGGAAGAATACCAAACGCTGGTCAAAGACTCAGCGATGGCGGTACATGCCTTAGACACGGGACATAGAATAGATCTGGAGAATGTGGAAGTCTTAAGATGGGGACTGCGATTCACACCACAGCGGCTGATAGCCGAGGCGGTTGAAATTACTAAGCATCACAGCGTTAGTAGAATCAAGGGTGTGGAACTGGCAAGCGTATGGAAAGCGGTATTAGATAAGCCGAGTTGACACGTGACAGTGTGGTTGTCAACCCACTTAGGATCATTAGAAAAAACCGGGAGGTAGGGGGGTGGAACCCCCAACCGACCAAAGGTCACAGCATCCCTCTTACACAACTATCTTAGCACTAGCTCATCCACACACATGGACAGAAAGTTCAAACGACGTTCAAGAGGGACCATCAAATAAACCAAACCAGAAGAACTAGACCCTAGGCTGAACCCAAACACATGTAGGTCTCCCCACCGACCCAACACTTGTTCAACCACTCTAACACGCTAAAATTCCCTCGGCCGACACCCAACAGAGATTTAGCTTGACTTAACTGATTGGTTCTCCTTCCGCCTTAAATCTCGATCAACCTCGGAACCTATTCACTTGGCCTGACGAAGCTTTTGTGTCAAAAGCGAAACGTTGCCCAGCAATAAATCTACCGATTGTCACCAAACTTTTTCGAAAACGATAAGCTATGTGGCGTTCATGGAAAAAAACAATCTTCCAAATGATATTTTCAAACTGATCGTTACGTGGAAATTGATACCTCATTGCAATACGAGTTCGAATTTTATAACTTACGACTGCGTTGACTGAAGCGAGGACTACCGAGAAAGTTTGTTCGTCCACCTATTTCCAAGTCAAGAATTCCGTAAAGCTTAGAAATCATAAATTAGTTTGCACTCAGGGAGAATGCTGTGTGCTAAATGGAAATAACCAGGTAATTCTTCTGGAACAAGGGCTACTTGTGCAACTAGGATTTTATACTCGTTTGCAAACCAAGTGGAGGTAAGCGGGAGACTCGACAAGATATCAGATGAACCTCACGTCCATAGTGAGCTTTAATTAATGCATTGCACTAAGCCTGGCTCAAGTTTCAGTTAGGGTGATGTTAATGATATCGAAGTACTCCTTGGCATCCCTATTACCGAAACAATACACGTGAACACTTTCAGGGCGGAAACCGTTGACTGATTTTCAGGTACTCATGGGGTGCGCAAATCCTAATAGCAATGAACTCGCTCCTCGGGAGGAGTTCTCAAACTAATCGCACGTACGATATGCTTGATACCCACGTACATGATCACAGCGTTCCTGTCGCCAAACACGCCGTGGTTCTTCGATTTGTCAGAAAGGATATGATGAACAGTAGTTTGGAGTTTTTTTTGTTGGTGATGCTTCAGTGCCTCATGTAGCGACTAACACGGTCAGACTTTGTCACTAATTCCGAAGTCGTGCTTGACAAGGTGATAGATGAGATACCCGTGTGCACATCGAAAGAAACCTCAAAGATGTAGATTCCATATGTCTTCCTTTGCCTTTGCCTTTATCTACGGTCGACCCCAGAGGTCTTCGACTTTGATGCCACTTTTCATCTGCCAGAAACAACCTTCGGAGCCTCGATACCGTTGAGTAAAACAGAATAAAATCTGCCACGAGTTGTGAAACCGGTCAACACTTACCATCGGTGTCATAGAGAACTGGAGGTAAATCGTATGGTACTGGAAAAGGGATGTGGTGTGTTCTCAGACCAGGTATTTGCTTCAGTGCATCCAAAGGTGTTGCTAATCGAGAAGGAGTAACGAGACGGAAGCAGTTGGCTTTCTCCTAGAAAACAAGAAACCTATGAGGTTATAGCCGCTGGTAACCATTGTGTGGAATTTGATCAAAGAGTGGGAAAGTTTCGCCCGAAGTTAGTCGAATCAGTGGGACACGAAAAAACAAAAGATCACCTCACTCCCAAGAGTAAGTGGAATGCAGGACGAGAATAGCTAATATGACCTGCAAGCTACGTGCAGAAGGTGCTGGGTCACTCAATAGAAAGATGTGTTAAGAGTCTGCATTAATTCAAACCATACACCTGTAAAGAGAAAGGATTTGTGCAGAAAACATGAGAAATAAATAATCTCAAAAAGAAACGTAATTACATAAAAGCCAACCAAAAACACAATACGCAAACACGTGACCTCAGGTTTGTAGCACGAATGCTCCAGTGACTGAACTGCCGTGGAATCTAACTCCACCTCACGCACATGCCCTTGAGTTCCAAGTTGATTCCCGACATATCCGCCTATTAATACAGCACTTGTCCTGTAAGCAAAATATTGCGAGTCTACGTCCTGTCTGGAGACATCAGTCACTCCGTTCGCAACACCTATGTTTGGCCTCCTATCTTAGATGACAAAATTCCTCGTACTCTCCATACAAATTCGAACCAATTCCCTTTATGATGTCTGCGTGGTATGTGCGTCTAATTCACTGTGGAAATCACCAGAGGAATACGAGTGGCACCGAGGAGGACTGACTGTTGATCCACCGAGCAGAAATGTGGTGAACCAGTTTCGTAGTCGATGAAATAATGAGACGAACGCTAGAGGGTCTCCAAAACCCTGGTGTTCAAATAGTCTGTGGAGAAAACCTTGTCGACCTGGAATATGCAGACGACATCGTTCTCATGTTCGAAGAGGAGGAATAGGCGCAAGTATTCTTGGATGAACTGACCAAAGTCATCCCGTCCTTTAGTATGCACTTTGCACCTACAAAGGTCATTCTCGTGAACATGCAGTCACTGAACACACCACTTACAATCCAGGGAGAGGTACTGGAAGTTGTGGAGCGCTTTACGTATCTGGGAAGCTGTGTTAGTCCTGATTGTAGTGTGACAGATGAGATGAATGCACGAATCTGCAAGGCTCGGGCCGCGTTTGCTAATCTGAGACACCTATGGCTTATCCTTGGATCTGAAGGGACGTGTGTATCAAGCTACAGTACGAGCTGTTTTGTTGTATAGATGCGAAGCTTGGCCTATTCGAGCAGCAAAACTGAGACACCTTCAGTTGTTCGGCAATCGTTGTCTCAGAAGTTGTTCGGCGTTGTCTCAGAACCATAGCTCGTGTGGGTTCGTGTCAGCGAGTCCGTAATGAGGCAGTTAGAAAGCGCGTTTTCGGTTGGTTGTCTTCGAATGCAATGCTCAGCTGACACAGTACTCCCATGATAACTAGATTGAGTTTCGTCCGGTGGTCTTCGTCATTTGTTTTACAATATGTTCGGGTCCTTAGTGTAGGCTCAACAAATCCCGGGCACTCCTAAAATGCCTAGTATATTCATTAAAAAGAGATGGGTCAAAACAACACTGAACTCAAGTACATACATGCGAATCGGTATTAGCATTCGCGGTGGCTCACTATGTACAGTATGTAAAACAATAAACTACAATGTAATACACCGTACATAAACTGAATGTGGTAATGAAAAAAAAGTGCTCAGCCTGGCAAACAAACAACAGCCTCTCTGTGGCTAATCTTTGACGCCCAGCTAAGGTCACTGTTATGGACACAAACAGTTGATACTCACAGAATATGCAAAATAATGTCTGGGGGCAGCAGCATACATGAGAGAGACTCTATGCACATACAAATGATCAACCACTGTTGGGCAGAAAGTTGGTGACAGAAAGTCTATTCTAGCAATTGAGTTAAAGCTCCGAAGAGTCTCTGTGTACGACGCACGTTCAGTCCAGTGAACACCATATACCCACCTCCCAGTGTACGTGAGAACTGCTCAAGTGTTGGAGGTTGCACCGGTAAATGCTCATTACAGGATGACAGACTGAACTAACATTCGGTGGACCTGCAGCTTGGTAATCGGTTACTGGCCAAGATACCGCCAAACCCGTTATTCGAATTTGCCAAAAGCCACGCTACCGTTAGCAAAACAGGACCTCTGCTCAAAGTCGACGATTAGGCAAACAGACAATGTGCTCCTGATGTAACGGAAGCCCGTTGGGTACACATAAACTCTACTAGGGTCATTGTGGGGGAAAAGGCGAAGGGGACTGCACTCGACGCAGAAAGAATACCTTCTTGGCGATGATGCACAGCCTATACTGCGTGCCGACAGGCGATGCAGTTCACTACGCAGTTATTCGCAAAGAAGATGGTCTAATGGATCAGATTCCTTGCACTAAACGTCTACCATCAAACAGACATTATGAAGCCGATCTTCAAACTATACGCCAACATTTTCATTCATGAAGGTCAATAGACAGTTCATCAAGCTCCACTGTTTTACGCCAGTGAGGGTTTTAAAATCACTGGAAGTCAATCCATTCGTTTGCGCCGTCTTTCTCTTTCTGTCATGCAGGCTTCGGTTGAGGTTGATGAATTCTGGCGGATGACCGTCGTTGGAAAGACTTAATCACAGTGTTTTTCATCTACGGAGTTGAAGGCATTCTTGTCCTGTAAGCAAAATATTGCGAGTCTACGTCCTGTCTGGAGACATCAGTCACTCCGTTCGCAACACCTATGTTTGGCCTCCTATCTTAGATGACAAAATTCCTCGTACTCTCCATACAAATTCGAACCAATTCCCTTTATGATGTCTGCGTGGTATGTGCGTCTAATTCACTGTGGAAATCACCAGAGGAATACGAGTGGCACCGAGGAGGACTGACTGTTGATCCACCGAGCAGAAATGTGGTGAACCAGTTTCGTAGTCGATGAAATAATGAGACGAACGCTAGAGGGTCTCCAAAACCCTGGTGTTCAAATAGTCTGTGGAGAAAACCTTGTCGACCTGGAATATGCAGACGACATCGTTCTCATGTTCGAAGAGGAGGAATAGGCGCAAGTATTCTTGGATGAACTGACCAAAGTCATCCCGTCCTTTAGTATGCACTTTGCACCTACAAAGGTCATTCTCGTGAACATGCAGTCACTGAACACACCACTTACAATCCAGGGAGAGGTACTGGAAGTTGTGGAGCGCTTTACGTATCTGGGAAGCTGTGTTAGTCCTGATTGTAGTGTGACAGATGAGATGAATGCACGAATCTGCAAGGCTCGGGCCGCGTTTGCTAATCTGAGACACCTATGGCTTATCCTTGGATCTGAAGGGACGTGTGTATCAAGCTACAGTACGAGCTGTTTTGTTGTATAGATGCGAAGCTTGGCCTATTCGAGCAGCAAAACTGAGACACCTTCAGTTGTTCGGCAATCGTTGTCTCAGAACCATAGCTCGTGTGGGTTCGTGTCAGCGAGTCCGTAATGAGGCAGTTAGAAAGCGCGTTTTCGGTTGTGCAACGGGTACTTCCATTGAAGAATGTGTCCAGCACCAAAAGCTGTGTTGGTTGGGACATGTGTTGCGTATGCCTAACCATTGTTTGCCGAAGAGAGTGCTGTTTCCCATGCCTAATTCGGAGTGGCGTAAACAGAGAGGTGGCCAACCCTTGACTTGGAAGAGGAGTATGAAGGAGATCACGAAGCGCTTGGGTGCTGTCTGTACTACTCGCCTTCCAGGGTGGGGACCGCGTGATCCTCATTGTGCCTGGTTGGAGACACTACAAGATATGGCTGTCAACCGATGTCAGTGGCGTTCTTGTTGGCAGTTTCTATCCACATTGCCTGAGTGAATGTCTGGAGGTGTAGGCACCTCGGAATGATTGTGTTAAGCTAGCACTGAGTCCCTCCCCTGTCCACATTTACTCAGTGAAGCATCGGTGTTGAACACTGATGCCATGCTGTCGATTGAACCAGTTTCGAATGCAAATGCTCAGCTGACACAGTACTCCCATGATAACTAGATTGAGTTTCGTCCGGTGGTCTTCGTCATTTGTTTTACAATATGTCTGGGTCCTTAGTGTAGGCTCAACAAATCCCGGGCACTCCTAAAATGCCTAGTATATTCATTAAAAAGAGATGGGTCAAAACAACACTGAACTCAAGTACATACATGCGAATCGGTATTAGCATTCGCGGTGGCTCACTATGTACAGTATGTAAAACAATAAACTACAATGTAATACACCGTACATAAACTGAATGTGGTAATGAAAAAAAAGTGCTCAGCCTGGCAAACAAACAACAGCCTCTCTGTGGCTAATCTTTGACGCCCAGCTAAGGTCACTGTTATGGACACAAACAGTTGATACTCACAGAATATGCAAAATAATGTCTGGGGGCAGCAGCATACATGAGAGAGACTCTATGCACATACAAATGATCAACCACTGTTGGGCAGAAAGTTGGTGACAGAAAGTCTATTCTAGCAATTGAGTTAAAGCTCCGAAGAGTCTCTGTGTACGACGCACGTTCAGTCCAGTGAACACCATATACCCACCTCCCAGTGTACGTGAGAACTGCTCAAGTGTTGGAGGTTGCACCGGTAAATGCTCATTACAGGATGACAGACTGAACTAACATTCGGTGGACCTGCAGCTTGGTAATCGGTTACTGGCCAAGATACCGCCAAACCCGTTATTCGAATTTGCCAAAAGCCACGCTACCGTTAGCAAAACAGGACCTCTGCTCAAAGTCGACGATTAGGCAAACAGACAATGTGCTCCTGATGTAACGGAAGCCCGTTGGGTACACATAAACTCTACTAGGGTCATTGTGGGGGAAAAGGCGAAGGGGACTGCACTCGACGCAGAAAGAATACCTTCTTGGCGATGATGCACAGCCTATACTGCGTGCCGACAGGCGATGCAGTTCACTACGCAGTTATTCGCAAAGAAGATGGTCTAATGGATCAGATTCCTTGCACTAAACGTCTACCATCAAACAGACATTATGAAGCCGATCTTCAAACTATACGCCAACATTTTCATTCATGAAGGTCAATAGACAGTTCATCAAGCTCCACTGTTTTACGCCAGTGAGGGTTTTAAAATCACTGGAAGTCAATCCATTCGTTTGCGCCGTCTTTCTCTTTCTGTCATGCAGGCTTCGGTTGAGGTTGATGAATTCTGGCGGATGACCGTCGTTGGAAAGACTTAATCACAGTGTTTTTCATCTACGGAGTTGAAGGCATTCCTGAGTCTATAAAACAGACATTGGGTGGCTGGTGATNAATTCTGGCGGATGACCGTCGTTGGAAAGACTTAATCACAGTGTTTTTCATCTACGGAGTTGAAGGCTTTCCTGAGTCTATAAAACAGACATTGGGTGGCTGGTGATGTTGCCGGGACTTTTCTTGAATCTACTGTGTAACAAGCATCAGGTCCATTGTGCTGTGACCAGTATGAAATATAAAGTTTTCTTCCGAGGTGTGCGTCGAACATCTCAGCCGTCAGGCGGTTTAGTAGCACCAATACCAGTAGTAGCACTGCTACCTCTGTAGTTGTTCACTTAAGTCTTGTTTGCCTTCCCTTGATTGATTAGCACGGCTAGAGCAAATGACATGTGAGAGTTCGTGTAAGAGTCACTTATTGGTCACACATCAGTAACCTTAAACGTCGAACTAGAAAAATCTTGACGGTGACTTGTAGGAGAGAAACGAGAGAAGAAACGGGAGAAATTTACTTGAAACCGTCCCGGAACGAACAGAACACCCAGTTCATATGATCGAACCATAAGTTGACTTCCATCCTTTACGAATGAACCCCAAGCGGCTTTGGACAAGTTCGCACTGATAATCAACAGAAATCGGTAAGAAGTTGTACAACCAACAGAGAAATGGTTCACACAAACAAAAGATCAACACCGTGAACGAGTAAGAAAACCGTTCGAATAATTAGCTGCTTCCTCTGAATGTATTAGAAAGAAAATATTACGCATCCAACAAGAATATCGATTTCTGGACATTTACAGAGCCAAGCAGAAAAAAATGCACTAAATATCACCATAACAAAATGAAATCCAAAGAATCCATCAGCAGTGAATGTCCCTTCCAGTACCGGGAGTTGAACTTAGGATTACTGACATGCGAGGCTAGCTTGTTATCAAGAGCCAAGGTACACCGAACGTATTAGAATTATCATTTCCGAGCAGGCGAGCGCGTTCACACCTGGGCCATGTGACTGGTTTGTCTAACTGCCAAATGACAATCCAGTAGCTGCATTGATGGTCTCGATCGCTTGATCCGACTGTTAAGCGCAAAAAACTCACTGGACAATTGTTGATTAGTTAAAGGCGTTTCCTCAAGCCTGGTTTGGTCGCTCTCTATGGTTAGGCATGCTGTAACGGTATGCTGAGTCCTCTGAGTACAGATTCACATACCCATCTGATTGCTATTTAGCATGCAGATCTACACCATGGATGTCATCCATCAAGTAGTAACGCAAAGTGGTAGCAAATCAAGTTCTTGTAGTCCATACTAATTCTTTTTTGGATGAAGTGGATTAAGTTTGTTCAGTGATCACTGCTTTCGCGAATTTACGCAAACCCGTTCCTGCTGTTTACGCGCTATGTACATGTTTGACCATGACGAACGTTGTAATTTCTGTGATAAAAGCATTATCAGCGCATACCACTGGTAATCCTCCTACCCAATTCCTCAACCGCAAAAGCTGAATAACAAAGGTGAAGCTAATTGCGTTGCAGATTCAATTAGAGAATTTGATCCATCAGCATTTCCACGTGATCGGACAGTGATCCTTGAATAAATCCTGATTGCGTTTGACAATTTGCGTGCCCGCGTCACGTGCCGGGCAGGCTCGAAGGAGGGATGTGTCAACACCTACTGTGAGTTGAAATTAGCTAAACCAACTAGCCGACCACCTTTGTTTTTCAATCACAACTTTTAAGGACTGGTGTAAAAAGAAACCTCGTCAAATCTAAACCCGATGAGCAACAGATCTTAGTTGAAATACATGAAACGATCTCAACTATTCGCAACATTCCAACCCTATATTGTCGCCGTTAATCGACTTACGCGGATTACAAATGACCTGATTGTTGCGTCGACAATCTAAGTGATGTCGCCCAACCCCGTCCCACAGGCAGGACGAATGTTATCTCAACGCACAGGATGTGGCTCTCTGGAATGTAAGCTCGCTTTGGATGCGTGCCGTCTTGATTACGTATGAGTGTACCAATCACTGCTTGAAAGCGCCATTTTCCCCAGGTCTTTGTGACCTAATGTCAGAACCGTTCTTTTTTACGTGCAGAGTGTACGAGATAGTTAGTGACCGAAAACAAACGTCTAAATTACACACCAATCCATCAAAAAGTACATTTGAAGGTAGCCCGCTAATCCTTATCCCTGAGTCATCCCTTTGACGGTATCCGTTGTTACTTCAGCAAAAGATCGCAGGACGGTTGAGTGTCGCACAAATCCAGTTAGTGACGCAAACATTGCGACTCACTTAAAAATGAGGTCAGCCAAGGGTGTACGACCTCTTTGATCCGATTGATGTGGTTGAATCTATGGCTCTAAATTCATGGGAAAGGAAGTAATAATGGATGGTTGAACAGGCAAACCTATCGTTCATTCCAAAAGTAAACGACGATGAATCCTCTGGAAATAAGAAAACGTTTTGCGGATGAGCAGCGAAGTGCGTGGTTTTGCTGGGAGTGAGTTCAGAACGTCCAACTTTCTACAAATCAAGCGGTCTCATTGTGTCCCACGTAGGCCTGACGCCTCCGTCCTGCATCGGTTCTGCAAGCAACAACTGCGCATAATTCGGAGCCGAATCCTCAGGCATCTCGAAGTCAATATATAAGCTTCGCACCCAGTCTATCTGGCCACCATCAAATTCCGCACTCTGAAGCAAGCAGTATAACAAGCCGATCTTGTTCTCATACTGGACACACTTGACATTGATGTGTGCTGTCTACCAGAGAGAGGAATTTAAGATACAAGCACAGTGGTTGAGCTAACTGGCCTATTACTTTCCACTCGATTCCGGCTGCGCACCTCTAACGAAATAGAGGCCGCTGCGACAGGATGAGCAGGGGGTGGTATCGACCTAATTGATCGGGCGTAAGCATCCTTGCTTGACTGAATACCCGTTGATGGTTACCTATGCGGGCTTCACCCCACAACGTCTCTGAAGAATTCTCACAAGCGGGAAGTTGATTGATGTCTGTTTGTCGTGTCTGCTTACGTCACAAATGAAAGTAGCTCTGACACAATCAACGACAATCTTTATAACGCCCTGAATACCCTGTTGCGGTGAGCCAAAAGCCCAGATATCGTGGTGGCTGCCGGAGATATGAATGCAAGATTGGGCACCCTTAGCGCATCTTGCACTCAATTAGGTGGTCGACATGAACCGGACCCGGTGCGCGCGGACAATCGTGAATGATTGCTTCAGCTGTGTGCTGACCACAGGCTATTTTATGGAGTACTAACAGTCGAAATAGCCGAAATCGACTGGCAGCACGGAGTCTTTCAACGGTGTGCCGGCCACGAAGTCATATCGACCACGTTGCCGTCAGTTACTGATGGTGTGGATCAATAACAGACTGCCGCTCGTTTTCGAACATATTTAGTGGCTTTCGACCGTGGAAGGTGCGAAAAAACCGCCTGGTAACTGCAAGTTTGGCAGATCCGGATGTTAGATGAATTTACCAGAATCGTCTTCTACACTCTCTTCCAAATGCTCCACCATCGTATGTGAATTCATACTTGTTAGGAGGCACTCCTAACGAACATATTGCTCAACGTTTCTCTCTCTCTCTATTTCAGCCTTTCAATGGACTGTTTTGTTCCATTCCATTCTTGATTCTTCGAATCTCGACATTGGCTATTCAGTTGCTGCAGTATAATTTCCTCAAGGCTTTTTGTCTTCTCAAATTCGTGTGTAACTGACAAGGTTGATTGACAGGTCAGTAGAGGACATAACACTGGCGACGGGAACCCTTCACGAAACCAAGAATGTCAATTTCAGCTGAGGATTTGAAATCAATCTTTCAAGAAAGACAACAAGCGCAATTTGAACAATCGCAATCGCGAGTTAACCAGTCTATCACTCAAATCATCAATCTCCAAGCTTCAGTTTCATCTCAAAGTGGTAGTCCACTATCGTTTGCAGATTCCACTGCTGCAACTACAACTGAACTTCACTATGAGCCAGCATCTGGTCTCACCTTTGATTCGTGGTACAGCCATTGGGAGGATACGTTCTTGAATGAGTTCACCGGCAAAGATGATGCGTGGAGATCCCGTCTCGAACACAACCGGTTCACTAACTTTATCCTTCCACAACACCCAAAAGATTTAACTTTTGAGCAGACGGCGGAACAACTTCGCGAAAACTTTGGTGACCAACATTCATTGTTTAATGTCCGATACAACTGTCTCAAGTTGGCCAAGCGTGGTGCCAACGATTACGTTACTTTTGCCGCTATCGTTAATCGCGAATGTGAGAAATTCCAATTGCAATCGCTTACAGAAGATCAGTTCAAATCAAATGCCTCCGTCGCTGGACCTCACTCTTCTCAGAAATTAGACGTTCGCACACGATTGCCAATCTGCATTTGATAACGCGAAGTCATAACTTAGTTCTAACTTGCTTCTCACACATTACAATCCAGTTCTGGACATGAAAGTGGTTTCAGACGCATCCACTTATGGTACTGGACCAGTTATCTATCACGTTTTCCCTGATAAAAGTGAAAAGGCAATAGCTCATGCAGCCATATCCCTCACAGTTACCGAACACAATTATGAACAAATTGAAAAAGAAGCGTTAGAGATGGTTTTCGACATGAAGAAGTTCCATAAAATGCCAAATGGTCGTCATTTCACGGTCATCACCGATCATAAGCCGCTTTTCGGTATTTTCGGATCAAAGAAAGCTATCCCTATGTACACAGCAAATCGGCTGCAACGCTGGGCAACAATGCTCTTGGGTTACGATTTCTCCATCAAGTACCAATCAACTGATGCGATGGGCCAAGCTGACGCATTATCAAGGCTAATGGATTCTCAGCGTCCACAACTGGAGGATGCGGTTATCGCATCAATAACAGCGGAACCGGAAGTAAATACTGTGCTTACTACAGCAATCCACGTTTTACCAGTCACTTCTGCGCGACGCCAATTTCCATGATCCATTACTGCAAAAAGTAATACATTTTCACCGCACACACTGGCCTCTAGTATGCCAAGATAAAGAGATTCAACCGTTCTAGCAACGCCGATCTTCGCTCTCCGAGGTCGATGGTTGTCTTCTGTTTACAGAACACGTGGTTGTGCCTTCAGAACTCCAGAACAGTGTTCTCAAACAATTTCATTTTGGACATCCCAGTATCAACCGTATGAAAGCATTGACCCGTAGTTATGTTTATTGACCAGGCATGGATAAACAGTTGAAAGAACTTGTTCGAATGTGCTCAAAATGCCAACTCTCCGCAAAAGCCCCTCGCAAAACAGCATTGTGCTCACGGCCAAACCCGGAATCTCCATGATCGCGACTTCACATTGATTTCGCTGGACCCATCAATGGACAGCACTATCTGATATTGGTCGACGCCTACAGTAAATGGCCAGAAGTATTCAGCATGACCCACGTTGCTGCTTGTGCTACTATTGCCAAACTACAAAATGTGTTCAGTCGCTTCGGAGGGCCAAATACTATTGTCTCTGACAACGGAAGTGCATTTACATCAGCAGAATTTTAAAAATTCCGTAGACAGAACAGCATCACATTTTAGATCACCACCGTTCCATCCACAATCAAATAGTCAGGTGGAACGATTCGTGGATACTCTCAAAAGAGCACTCGCCAAACTCAAAGGGGAGGGGACCACACCGGAAATAATCGAAATCTTCCTGCTGAGTTACAGAGCGACACCAAAAATCAACTCTCCAAACGGTAACTCCCCCGCTGACATGCTATTTAACCGAAAAATCCACCTACCCATCGACGTCAATCGTCATAGCTCACGTCCATCAACCTGTCATACGAATGCAACTGAACCCACAACTCCAGTCGTACGAACAATGACTTCAAAGGGGAGGTGTTAGGAGGACTGCCTCCTAACAAACATATTCACACCTTTCATTGAAGTGTTTTGTTCCATTCCATTCTTGATTCTTTTGAATCTCGATATTGGCTGTTCAGTTGCTGCAGTGCAATTTCCTCAAGGCCATTTGTCTTCTCGATTCCGTGTGTAACTGACAAGGTTAATTGACTGATCAGTAGAGGACATAACTCAATTGTACAAACCTGAAAGAAACAAGTGCTTACTGCTTTCCAGACTATTTGATTCTGACAGGAAACTCAGCTGAATTCAGCCGAATCTCTCGTTTACAGTGAGCGGTGTATCACGTCCAGATAAGCATGATTGTTCATCCCTCATCCCATTTGAAATGACCTATTCAACCAAGGAATCCAACCAGAGTTGATTAGTTATAGCTTGGTTCACCGACTAGTTCCAGGAGTAACGTTCTCAACTGGGTACTTAAAACTGCGCTATACCACGGGAGTAGTAGAATTTGTATTCGAATCGCTCTTGTTCGAACAGTCATCCTCGTATAACGGCGTGATCATTCTCCCCATCGCCCGAACGCGTTTCATTCTTTGATGAGATTGCTTGCTTGGGGGGTCTTCGTAAACGAGAAGCACTGTATTCCGCTGCATTACATGGGGTGAATGGTGCAATGAGTAGGACAAAAGGTTGTCTTTCAGTAAACGCCTTTACATTGTGAATGACCGCCTCAACAAACTGAACTAATTGTGGTTAGGTAAGGGCCCACGTTCACATAGCGATGGCGTTTTATAAGTGACGTAGGAGGAAAGCGGTTGCTTATGGTTATGTGTCTTCATTTGTTGCTGGAGGCAGACATGCTATATGGGTTGGAGATCATCGATTATTTTGCCAGGACCTGGTCAGCGAACTCAGGTTAGATTTTTTTTCCTGTTTTGTTGAGGTAAGTAACCAGAGGGTCACACATGAATCAATGAAGAATACGTGATTTTGCAGTAGCGACGCCTCGACTGACAGGCCGAGAAACAGGTCCATCGTGTAACATGCGGCCGATTCACTCGGATACCGTGGGTAATAAGTTTCTCCTTTGTATCCACAGGACAATCATTTGATGGGATAAGGTCATCGACGTATCCCGTCTAGAACAAAGCTACTTTCTTCATCTTTACAGAACTCCATTCAAACTTGATCCACATAATGGTAAAGCGCAAGTACCGGCGAGACAAGGCGTGCTTAGATAACCACTTTAGGAACCACGTTCTACTGATGCATCCCAATAGTTAAGAGCGGTATCCTATAGGTGACCTCACACCTAGATCAAAAGATCGTCTGCTTCCATGAAACTATCAAGTTTTATCGACAGAGACCACGTGGAAGCGAAGACTTAACATTTTGGTTTGGACAACACGCACACAGGGCTTGTAACGTACTGAATTTCCGAAAAAGCACAGTAATGATTTCAAGAGACTCCTACTAAGACAGGTTACTCGGCCTGAAGAGGCAACGATAGTATTCGATGCCAACCAGGATTTGGTGGTTGGCTTTCAAACGGAGGCTAAAATATACCTTTCCCCGTTATGTCCTATCTCCGGGATGATTGTTTTAACGTGGCAGATGAGCCTAATTCCACGCTATCGAACTGCTGGAAAGTACTGCACTGCACGTATGGGAAAGGGGCCCAGTAAGGCGACTGTTATACCTGACTGCAGTCCCCGCTCCAATGCCGGAAAAATACTTGATGACAAGGAACACAACAACCTTATTGGAACAACTGAGAGTGTGCGATTGATCCAGGCTGTCTGATAGGCGCTTAGTGAACACTATGAAATACCTGAACACTCATCACAGTCGGTCCTGCATCTGCGGCGTGCCTGAACCGTCATCGGCGTTTGCTCGATTGATTGAGTGATTCACTGGATGCTTGCCGGCTTCCCTACTGAGATTTTGGTGGAGGGTCTCAGTAAGTTCCGGACATTCTGGGGTTATTTTCGATAATCTGACCTTCCTGACAGTGACCTAAAATCCCTACTGTAGTCTCGAAGGTATATTCACTCACGTGAGAGCATGCACTGTAAGACTATTCAATAAGTAGTCAAATAGCTAGTTCGCCTAGCACTGATGTTTTTCCTCACTTACTCTGCTCTTGAACTCTTGTATATTATGGTGAAACTGGTTGACGTCGTGGTAGCAACGGAACTGCGTGAAATTGTCACACCTGATTTCATATTTTTACTTTGTGTATTACATACCTATTAATGAAGTAGGTATTATCACGCCTGCTTCATCAAGAAACAACGTCAGCGCTGGATGAGATAGCACAAGCGTCAAATGCAAGCGAATTTCAACGATTAAATACAGCCCGTCAAGCAAACACTGAAAGCTAACGAGGTCAACCCACCTAGTTAACAAAAACCAGCTAGCATGCGTTCCGTCATTTGATATGCGTGTGTAGGATTTGATGTGTGGAGCCGCTCGACTATGTGGGCCAGCGCGCCATCGGTGTAGAAATTGTCGAAGCCAAGACTGTTTTTCAGCTGTCTGTCGGCTGTAGGGGAGGCAACCGCCAGCAGCATATCCCTCCAAACTGTTGCGTACATCATCCACACACGGGAAAATCTGAAGCATGAACTTGCAGGTTAGTAAGCAATACAAAGTGCCGGAATAAGTCGTACGCAAACCTAGTAGTCGTCTTATTTGGATGGGATTGCCGACAAGTAGTGAGAAAGCCTATCAGACCACCTGAAACCCAATGGCTATGCAGTTCTTTTGATAAAAGGAAGATTTAAAACTCTTATATGGTAAGCAGTACCAACAGCAGTCAATGAGAAAGGTCAGATCAAGCCCCTATGTAGGTTTATTTTTACTACCTTCAAATATGTGATGACAATAACTTATCGTCCACAACTACTTCTCTCCCGCTTTCTACAATGTGATGCTTTTGTGAATTGAGCGTCTTTACGAGTGAATCGCGCTATTCCTTTCTTTCAATCCATACCTGGGTGACTCAGCTAGGGACATGGTATTGTCAGTGGTGATCTTAGCCACGAGAGGAAACTCAGAGGAAACTTGCTCCGTTTGTTGAAATGATTGGATAAGGGTTCGAAAATATAGTTCAACCAAAAACAGTAGACAGGTGAGACACGCAAGCACATGTGTCCTAACATCGCAGAAACTGTGACAGCCGTGAAAATGACTCCAATTAAACAAGCAGATTCTGCGTTGGAACCTATGGGAAGCAGTTCGAATCCCGGCAGAACATCATAAGGTTTGTATTCCCTTCTGAGGTGAGGATAGCTCAGACCCAGTGCAATATGCCCGTGATCCATCAGACACAGTAAGGTGGAATGACTGATGTTTACAATGTTAGAATTTTCTCGGGTTTGCATTGGGCAAACGGAATTTCAGGAAAATTGTCCCGCAAAGTTGCTGTGGAGTGAAGTGTTTTGTGATCAGATATTTGGAGGAAAGAGGCTTCGAAAACGATTGTATGTAGACAGCGAATTGTGTGCCACACAGTAAATCAAAGAACTGAATGGTTTGCCAGTCATATCAAAATAGTTGGGAATTTCTCACCGCAGAAGTGAAGTCGAAAGCCATCCCTATTAGAAATTATCACCAATGCGCATTTTCCGATTCCCCAGCGTGGTTCGAACTCATAACTTAAACGTTCCAACACCTGACCGTTCGGCCTCGAGCGGATGCTCAATAGTATAATTAATCCACACATCACATGGTACTGTGTTGACTGTCTCCTCGAAGGACGAATTGTCAGACGGAAAATTCAATTGCTGTGTGTATCATTACCTACGCCAAATACCTTGTTGATAGTATGAGGAAATTTTGAGTGTTGTGAGATGCACTTGGATGGTGATTCCCAGCGAAGATGAAACAGCTCTACGGTTGAAGTTGGTCTTGGGGACATCACAACAGAGCAAAGAATAATTTACCTTTCTAAGTATTCTAAGAAAACTGAGCTGCCGATGTTGCCGAGAGCACAAAGTTGGTTGTTAGTGTTGTTCTAGATGGATCGGATCAATGAGAAATTCTCTTTCATAGAGGGAAGTACTCCCAAAGTGGCTGAAAACTCTTTGACAGCCTACGACCGGTTTCGTTCTTCTTGTAACTCATCATCCCAAAGTGCTGAAAACTCTTTGACAGCCTACGACCGGTTTCGTTCTTCTTGTAACTCATCAAGTAGGCGGTCCTCAGTTGATATGCAAATGAGTATATTTATCGTTAACACTTGCGATTCAGTTCGCAACATCGCAAAGAAAGCACACATTATCTTGCTCAATTTCAACCGTGGAAAAGGGAGATTCGATTCTCAACAGTGCCTTCCAAGAGTACAAGTACTTTGATATTGTTGATGGTTTCCACACTGCACACAGTCATCGCAAAAGCCAAATCTGCTACGATGGAAATATAGTCCCCAAATAGTTTCTGTCAGATGGAGCAATGGAAAAACCGCGCCAGGATTGCGCAATTTTCCCCTACGGAATGCTAGCGTCTCGACAGTCAATAGGAACAAGTTCACCTCAGCTGGTAAACCACGTCCAGAAAAGAAAATGTGCACCAACGGTAGGAAATGTACGGGTGAACCTAGTTTTTAGTGGTGCGTTAGTCCTATCCAGTCGTTGGTGAAATGGTCAAGGTGTCCGTATCATTTGTCGAGCCAGGACGACGCCCTTTTAAATGCAGTTCACCCAAAAACTCTGTTATTCATGGTTCGGTAAGTATTTAAGTTAAAATTTAGGGCAAAACTACCCTAATAGAAGTAGGGTGGCAAATATCCCGACAAACAGCATTAACTGGAATTATTCTTGCCGTCGCACACTTTGAAACGGATCTGTTGGACTGAAAAGATTTTTACCACAAGAATTTCAACGATTTTTTTAACACCTACACATCCGCTCCTCCTCATCACCGACATCACCACAATAGACAGTAACACTAGTGTCGACATTGATGCTTCACCACAGAAGCTATTTGTCTTCAAAACCATAAATGCATGCTAAAAGAACATGATGGTTCGGTCATTCTGATGTGACTATATATCCAAAACGTTCCTTCAGACATTCTGGACAGGACACTGCCCCTATCTCACAAGAGGGAGGCGAATTATAGCTTAGCTTTCTTAGATATTCTGCTTAGGACAACAAACTGACCCGCGCTATCCACTGCGAAGTAACCTAAGGTGGTCAGAACATCTACCTCTAAAATGTTCTACCACTGTTTAAAAAATGAGCTTATTCAAGACACTGTCCTATAGGTCAAGGGCCACTCGTAATCCCGAGGGAGGAGAGTTCCCCAAATGCCGACCTTGATGGCAATTTTCCGGCTACGCAACTAAGACTAAACCAGTCCACATTCGTCTTATGACTCTAAATTAGGCTCCGGGAGGAGAAATTTCTACAGTTTGAGTCATCCGTCAATCCCTCTGAATCAAACAAATATATCACTCATGCACGAACATATTCACCTGTCCCGAAGTGGAAGTTCAAATGCATCGAGCGTGCTCCGGAAGAGGAGTAGTAATACGCACGAATCGCAAGTCATATATGTGTGGTATTCAAATCCCAGCATTTTCAAGGACACACAAATCTGGTCAATCATCGATCCGTTGACCCCCGACGACCATTCGCTGTTCCGATGCACAGTCGAACATCTCGGTTACTCGTGTTCCGACTACTGCTCATCCCCTGAATGTCTTCACGTGTTCTTTCCAACTTTCGCTTCCAAGTAGTAAACATGAATGTACGTTCTACGTGAGCGGCAGATGAGAGTAAAGTAAACTTTGGCATCATTTACATCTTGTCATGGTCTAGATGGAATTTACAATCTGTCTGCGATTAACTGAAAAAGCTGCGAACACCAAATTCTCAACGCCTAGCTTGCCCTTGTGAGTTGAGTGACCAACTACGTCAACGATCGAGGAAATATTCGAGCAAGGACCATATTTCTGCGGACAATCAGGCCTTGATTCTATGGCTTCTGTTATTTTGAACAGTGAGTGAAACTCAGTACGTTTGGCTGTAACGATATAGCGGAATGAGACCGAAATCAGCCATTCACAAAATGGTCAATTTAGTTCTACCTGAACGTTATTCCGTGAATGAAAATTGCTTTCGGTCAGATTGCTGTGATACTTTCTACTGTGGATTTACGTTGGCGAAAGGTGCATGGTGCAAACAGCTTCCTACAAACAGGGAGCAAACTGAGCATCGCTAAACACAGACAGGTTAACAGTAGCATTATTCACCCAAGGGAGGGGGGGGGGTAAAATTTCGATGTAGCTTTTTTCCAAAATATAGTTTTTTTGTGAGGAATTCCTTGATTATAAGGCAACACTATGATCATCCGTTTAATAGCACCGATAATGTCCCTGTAATTAAGGTCTTTAAATCAAGGTTTCGTCGAACTGATGTCTGATAAATACCCAAACAGGACCGTGAAAGGTGAGGAATATCCGCATAACCGTGCGAAAGTAGCCGCAGAATTTTGTCGTATAAAGAAAGTGACTGTCCATAGATTCGTTTACGCACGAACAAAGAAGAACAAGGGAAAGAAAAATGTAACTTCGAGGCCAGATTTATCATCTGATTTATCTGATTTATCAGATTTATCATCGTACCCCAACTTCAGAATGCAAGGGAAAATAAACTAATCGAAAGTTTACTGAAGGCTCTACGAGATATGACACGTGTTTAAAACCTAAAGGCAAGTATAGCAAAGCTAATAACAAACCCTGTGAAAAACTGCAAAGCTCTAGTGAGGTCTCGGAATCCCCGACACAAATCAAAGATATCGTCACAAAGCCTCAAAAATATCAAAAATCACGTTGATTGCTTCTGAAATCGGTAAAAATAGGCTCATATGTCTACAGGCACATTCCTACAGCGACAGAAACGTTACGGTGTCGATTCTAACATTCGACTGATTTACCGAACGGTATCAGCCACATCGTCAAAATAGGCAACCTTTACGGGCCTGAAGTACTCGAATCTACATCTATCATTCTTGGATCGAACGGCAATGTCCGGAAATAAGTTCAGTTGATCGCTGTGACCGGCTCCAAAAAACAGCCGGCGAACGAAACCAAGGATCAGAATGGACTGAGCATCTTGAGTAAGGATGAACCCATCGATGTCCGGACTAAGAACTTTGAACAAAACCTTTCGTGGTCACCCACTGCCACTCATTTGGAGTCTACAACTGAAGAGGGATTATAAATGGCGGAACCTGAACCCCATAGGGCCTCGAAGGTTTATAATTGCATGTGTTCTCTCAAGAACCACGGAAATCCCGGTCCAGATGACCCCCCCACTACACTGTTCAGAGGTGGAATGAAGTCCTCAGTTAGCGCTTGCTGGCCGGTATAACCGAACACGGGGTCTATGGCCCGGATAGATGTAGGGGATTCGGGCACGTGATTACGTGGTCAGATGCTTCAGGCACTTAGTCATGGGACAAGGCAAACGACTGTTAACTTTTGGTGGTCTCAGAACGTATCCCGTGTTTCTACGAAAAAGAAGTAAAAAACTATCAAAATAAAATAAATCAGCTGTAACATCCTTTCGGTGCCTAGCTGCCACCCGAAGGAAGCACGAGGGCTGGATTACTGCCAGGTGCCCCAAGTAAAGACAGGGAAGTTGAGAGATAGAGGTCGGATTCAAACCACGGACATTTCGGTCAGTATATTCGCGCTCTAAACACTAAGCCATCTCGCCCAGTGCAGGATGGGAAAAGTTTGAATTTCAAATTCAGTGTAGATTGAGGACAAACCAAAACGTTTTCAGACCCGAGAGTTGGCCGTGCATGAAACCGTAAAGTTTCTATTTATACTTTCATTTTTCGGGTTACCTGTTATGGTACTTGCATCCAAAGTTCATACTTAGGTTAAGGTATACCGTCAACCTTTCGTCTGTAGACTACCCGTAAACTTTCTTCTCGGAGATATTTTTACATGTTTACAGTAAACACAAAACACTGAACTTTTTTTCGAAAAATCACCTTGATACGAAGTACGAGTAAGAGGAACAGATCTCAACGGTGATACTACTGATGGGGAGGAATGCGAGTAGTATGTTTGCCCTTGTAAATTCGCTTTGCGTCTATTAAAAAGGGAGATCTGTTGCGGAATTTGTGGAGTCGCTTTGTAGCATTTGCTGGGATTTGAGCACAATGGATGTGTAAATGAATATCCAGGAAAGTTTAGGAAGACGCGTTCAGGAGGAGATTAATGTCTAGGTTATGCAAATTAGACTTTTGCTTCCTTGTCCGACAGTCTGTAACTGGTCAGTTGGAATTTTCTAATAACTCCGCAGCGAAGGGCTTCTTTTCACCCCACTTTATCCATGAAGGGCAATTCACACACAATCTTCAGTGTTACACTTACACTGGATCAACAATATTTGCTTCAGATGATCCATATGTTAATGATTATCACTAGGCTGCTTGTATTTCGTACAAAAGGAAGGGAAACCAAAGGATCATACCAAAAAATGCGGCCTTTCTTCAAGGGAAGCTGTATTTGGACATTAAACAAGATGTCGGATCAAGTTCTCCGAGAACAGAAAACGAAGCTGACGCCTGTTTTAAGGCGTAACTGGTTAGCTGAGATCACCGGCCCACACATTCCATGAGGGAGTGATTCACTTTTAGGGACAAACCGCAACCCACAGGCCGACTGTATTCCGACTGGTTGTTTTATCACCAATTCCTCTCACGAGAAAGCACTCTGTGAGGTGAAACGGCTGGCCGAACTCGCATTTATAAAAGGATACAGACCAAGTTTATTTTCTTCACCATCCAACCAGATGATGACACGATCAGAATTCAGCAAACGACCTCAGTAACGAGGACCTAACAGAAGTTGAAAATTCGTCTGCAAATTAAGGTAGTTATCGTGTGGTTCTAAGCGCTCTTCCATTCACCATATACTTCAACCGAGCATGCTGCATAAAAGCATCATCATCAAGATATTCTCTATCAGCCATCGGTCAGTCACGCAATGGACCTGTAACTTTGACGTCTTAGAACACCCGTGCATAATTACGTCAAACTCAGTCCGAAAACAGTAGTTCGAAAATTGTTTGGCCTGTGTGGGCTTTGTTCATCCATAATGCTATGCACAATACCAGCTTCCGATTGCGACCTTGGCAACGTCAAACCAATTTAATCGTATTAAAGAGATGGTCCTTACGTGAAGATGCAAATAGAGGCGGACAGTCATATGTTTGTATTTGACAGTCGTCAAATGAAAAATGACAAGATGGAAAAAGTATGGTGGCACGGTAAATGATGTGGAATCCTTCGAAAACACGAAATAACAAGCAGTGTTTTCGTTCTTCTTAGCTGTGTGGTATTTTCTGTGATAAGTAAGTATGATAAGATAAATGGGTAGGTATTTGCTCTGACTTCGTTAACCTACCACATCAGCTTCAGGTAAGCGCTACAAAATGAATGAAACAAACCGAAAAAGAACCAAAGATGGGGTGGGTCCGCCATACTGTTGCGGCGTTAACTGCTGCTATTCGATGCTCGTGGACTTTAGTCCTCTACTTGTCTTCAAAAATCTGGGGTCAAACACTAAAGCCAATCAGGAGGGAACTACATGATTTGAATATTATCTCCACCAGCATAACATCAGTTTTCGGCACTGATGCTTCTCTGTCGTATAACCATATTTACTAGAAATTGCCTAACTCAACGAACAAGCTAACGACCGTTTACTAGAAAGACTGATGGTGGGAAAATAAGAAGAAAAAGACCTAGTGATGGCGTGCCAATCATTCTGAAGTTTCCACAACATTCAGAAACAAATCCGCTCACCTTGGGTACAAAACAAACAACGAGAACGCTACTGACATCGAAAAGCAACCATATCTCGCAGTATCTCCAAGCATGAAAAGATGGGATCAAGCACAACCCTATCCTGAAAGGCGAGTCAAACCAACAAGTAGATCAGACATGCGCTGATTGAATAATGCGGGGGAGCATAATACTGACCAGGAGCTTAATGACGCTCGTGAGAACATGTGCGATCCTAAGCCTCCGAGGTAGTAGTAGGTTCCAAGTTCACCGTTTAGGGTTCTATCGCTGTTCGACAACCTCACTGAGAAGAAGCAGATGACCAAAAGAATTGTTCTCCAAAGTACAAGGCCCAGTGGTCAGGGTGTCCTTCTTTTTTAATATGTTCGTGCCAGTTTGATATTTAGTTGTTTGGATCACCAATGGCTTCCGGGGATTAGTCCCACAGGTCTTAGGGTATTACTCGCATCTTTCATTTCTTCGACCTTCTGTGTCCACAGCCTTAGTGGTAGCCGCACACAGTGAGTTTCATAAGGATTCTGACAATTCGTCAGGACAAATCATGTTCAGAACCCGCGAGAGCATTCCCTGAGATTCAAGCTGCGCAACTGTACTGTCCAATATAGAATCTGCCACAAACAGAACTCCCGGCATTGTGGAAGGATGTGGCGACCTCTTCCCAGTAAGAAGTGATATCTCACGGTGAGGTAGTTGGAAGAGTCCAGATGACGGTGCTAATGATACGATACGGATACGAGGAATCCTGTGGACAGATTCATACGCCAGGATACCAAATAAGCGCAAAAGATGTTTGTGCGCGTGAAAAAACGATTGACGAAATCCCTCATGCTGTTTACTTAGAAGAACAGCACAGTATACGTTTGACAACTACGGATTCTAAGAAGACGCATTTGCTACAACATAAAAATTGCATATCCAGTCAGCCTATTATGTAATGCACTCACCATTCGCAGACCCCGAGCACCTTTACCAGCCAAACTTGATGACCACTGAGTTGTTAACCACGTAGTGGGCTGCGCACCCAGATAGCCTATGCTCGAAAACTGACCAATCAGAGGCCACGATGAGGGTACTTCAAGAGTGTAGTCCCGAAGTAACTGGAATTGATATAAAAGGGTACAACTCTGTCAATTAACCATAAATCTAGATTTATCCAAATGAAATGTTATTCCTTGAGACAAAACGGCATTTGATACAATCTGGAAATTCGCTGCATTAATGAGATCGAAGACAGAACGCTAAATCCTCCACAAATTTGATCGCAGTCAATTGGATATAGGAAGAGAGATAGATGGGATAGAAGGACTTACACTGGCTAGTCTGGGGTGACCAAATTGTCTCAGAGAGGACCCAGCATGCATGCCAGACACCGAGCCGACAAGGAATACCCTGCAAATGGAAGTGGAGACATCGCCGATGTAAACAGTGCACAATGTTTCATTAGATTAGTTACGAACTGTACTAGTTGACCAACTCTCCCTTGCATTCAAAGAGAAGTGAGTCCGGGGCACACTATATAGCTACATTCAGTTGACAGAAGGAGTGACAAATTCATTAGCAGGACAGGATGGATAGCAGTTTGCAGTGTGAAACTCAGTTCGCTGCGTGGAGCTTAGTCACTCAAAGTTAAATTCAATCAAACAATACGTTTCGAAGAAAGGTCAGAAAAGATTATTGGTGTGACACCAGCTAGTACCATACCAATTTGCCAAGCGACGACGCACCATTCGCTTTGTCCCTGACCCGCGCAGTTGGGTTAGCTTAACTATCCTCTAGCGCTCCTGTTATAAAGTGGTGCCAGTACGGCACCTAAGGGTATAGATCAAAAACTCTGATTAAGACTCACAGAAGAAGGAAGAACCCCCACACAGGACTGGTTTCTTTTGTGTCCGAATTTCCCACGAATAAACTACCTTTAATATGGAACATTAGGTTACAAACGGGTCCGTGCGAAAATGCAAAAACATGGTTCTGGTCGCTCAATGTCAGTTAGACTGTACTAGAACAAACCTTGTAGTGAAAAGGGTGTCGACTGACACAACTCTAGGTTTCACGATGGACTATCCCTTGAAGCAAGTAGAGAATGTATTGAACATTCGCGTTGGGTCACAATTCTGAGCAAAACAACTGAAGCCTCAAACCCATTACTTGTCGTTGAGTTTTGTTCACCCCCATGTGCTGCTGTCGAATACTAACCAGGCAGGAGTTAACGATCGGACGCACGTTTGATTGCGGTACTCATTCGTAGCAGGAACTACGCTATTTGATAATGAAAGTAAATTTTCGATGTGGGTAAACACTAAAACTAGCGACTGTTGGGAAACCATGACTTAGTTACGAACCGAACAACAGGCAGAACCAGATGGGTGAGGGCTGAGAAGATGATTTGGATTTATGGCATCAAAGCCAAAATCGACTCAATTCAATGCTTCACACGTTTTAGTAACTTAAATCAGATTATGAAACCATTCAAATAAGGATCGAACAATTGAACAGAGCAAACAACTTCAGCATATTAGTGAGTTCAGTTAGTTTCGGATGTTTCTTGGTTAAGAAGACCACGCAAACACTACTCATAAGTATGCTAAAAACAGTTTCACCCATCTTAGGACTCATCATCATAGTCCCCGAGTTTCCGTCAGGGTTAAACATCAAATTGTACGTAACCGAACACTCATTTGCGAATCACATTGTTAACGAAAGACTTAATTTGAGTCCCGCGTCACCATCAACGTAACTTGCAATTAAGTGTACTTTGTCAAGGCCGAATACCATTTAGATCAAATTCTCTGCATGAGGTTTCAGTAGGCTTCATAATGTTATCAAAAAGGGACACTTACTGTTATATGGCTAGCTACGACTGTTTCGTCTTGTTGGGGTTCACCATCATTTCGACGGCTATATTGACCCCAAACATTCTGAATGAAAGTTTGCTCCATAGGAAGGTTGGCTAACCTTCAAAACATACAGCAGATCATCTCTAGATGACGAAATCTACTTTAGGTAATCCGATTCCGACTATCTCTTCAAGTGAAGACTTCTGCAGGAAGATCCAAGTGACTATGTGAGATGGTATCCATTTACGGGGGCTAATTAAATTTCCAAGCGGCGATTTGATGAGATCCCAGATGGAACTTGAAAACACCTTTCTATCAATAAACTGCACCTTATCGACAGACTCTTGAAAGGCGACGAAGTTACTGTCCGCTCACTAAAAGTCATGCAGCCCATTTGTTCAGCTGGACTGGTGACTCATGACTGACCAGGTGACTTGTATCCTGATGATTTACCGGTGATTGTGTGTGAAATCATCTGCTTGCCTGCTAATACGATTCACCCCAACTATCAATAGTAAATCAAGTTAACTACCCAGAATATGCCAGCTGGCTGACTGCATGAACTCACCGAATGGGGCTGAAATCATACTGATGCAACTCTTCAATCCACTCGCCCAATGGTGAGCTGGGAGTACCAGCAACAGTCGAACCATATCCACGTAGGTAATTGACAAGATTTTCACGAAATTTCGTATCGGAATCCGTTTCGGATGACGTACCACTCTTACGGAGCAGTTTTGGACTTAACCATATTCTGTAGGGACGGAAGTTAAACACACTAAGGTAAAGCTACGTATGTGACAAACAGAAAACGGGAAATTATGCATTCAAGGTACACCGAAAATTTGAATCGCCAATATCTCTCAAGACTAACGCGCGGTATGATTAAACTGCATCACTCATTGCCCAATGAAATAGAGCCACATTCTTTCGAACGTTTGTTACGTTTGATTGTTTATTGATGTATATATATATATATATATATATATATAATACGGAGGTCACATCTTGAAAGAGTGCAATATCTTACCGTAGCCCTGATTTTCTAATATAAACCAGCGCATTGTATCGTGTTTTATGATATGATTGACTTACGGCTCCCGTGAAGGTGTTTCTGATTCCGATCGGTCATCACAAATACTAAGACTGAGTCGAAAATAATAGCTGCTCTTGTGCTGTGTTCCT